TTTTTTTAATACGTTTCACAACATGTGTTCTTATTTTAGAGTCGACATACCGTCACCAAGCTACCATTGATGATGAGGTGGTTTCCATGGAGATACTAGACACAGCTGGCCAGGTGTGTGGGTACATGTGCTGCTGCTACCCAGTGCCTTGGCTGGGGTATGCAGCAGGGGAAGAAATCGTGGTGGTGGCAGCAGTGCAGGGGGTGGCAGCAGTGCCTACTCTGGGGACACTGATTTGCTTCTGGGCAGAACCCCCTCTCTCCCCCCCCATTCTGGATCCACACCCTTCTGTGAGGGATCCTGCTTGGAAGAACAAACAAGTCAAGGAGCTTACTCTGGGGGTGAAATTATTTTGTTGTCACATTTTTTTATTCAAGGCTGGCCCAACAAGTAGGCACAAAGTCATGGTCTCTTTCTACAGTCAAGTGATGAGGCTTGACAACAGCAGACAATAATACCCACTAGAGTGAAGAGCAGATTTGTCATTGGCAGGTCTCCCTTTTAAAACACAGCAGGTGCAGGTGCTGCACAGGCCTGGGCAGGCCATGGCACTGGGTGGAATAGATCTCCTATGCCACATGATCAGAAAGGTGATGTGAGTAAAGTATGAAGTAAAGCAGATGCACACAGCTGTGAAGGACCAGCACCTCTCTGAAGGCCTGCTGTCTTCTTCATAAATCAAATTCCTAAGTCGTTCTTCTGTCTTTTTGAACAGGAGGATGCCATTCAGAAAGAAGGACACGTGCGATGGGGCGAGGGCTTCGTGCTGGTTTACGACATCACGGACAGAGGCAGCTTTGAGGAAATGCTGCCACTTAAGAACTTGTTGGATGAAGTCAAAAAGCCCAAAAATGTCACTCTAATCCTGGTGGGGAACAAAGCAGATTTGGATCACTCCAGGCAAGTCAGCACGGAGGAAGGTGAAAAGCTGGCCACGGAACTTGCGTGTGCTTTTTACGAGTGCTCTGCTTGCACGGGAGAGGGCAACATTATGGAGGCCTTCTATGAGCTCTGCCGGGAGGTGCGGCGCCGCAAGATGGTCCAGGGCAAGACTCGGAGGCGAAGCTCCACCACCCACGTCAAGCAGGCCATTAATAAGATGCTCACCAAAATCAGCAGCTAAAAAAGAGCTGTCCTTAGCCAGAGAAGCAGAGCATGCTTAATGAGAAATGGTCAAATCTTTGCCATGAAGAAAAAAAAACCCAAAAAGACAAACACCACCACTTTTTTTGAGTAACGTGGAATCGTACTATTTTCCTGTTTTGAAATATATTTAGCCACACTGCTTTTGAGTAATGTGGGGAAAAAAAAGAAAAAACAAACACCAAATGAACTCCAAAGGACTCAAAAATTGTGGAGATTGGCGACCAAGAGAGAATCTTCTGCTTCTAGGTGACTGGCTCCAATCCCCTGCAAGTCAGTAGTGCCTAAACTTCACTTCCAGTCAGGCAGGTGCTCAGTAGCCATTGGAGAGTAAGATTCAGTCCTCAGTCCATCAACAACCATCACAACTGGTGTTCTCCAGGACTGACTATGTGTAGAGGCTGCTGCGTTGTAACAAAGTTCACCTGACACCTTCACCAGCTCTGAGTTGGCTCACTGTATGCTTTCACTCCTTCCTTGTTATTTTTATCAAATCTATGAGTGTTGATGTTCTTAGCAAGGTATGCAAAAAATATAGGAAAGGTCAATTTCCTGGAGCATTTAGCCAGCTAGACACACATTTCAAGAGAGCTAAAGTTCAGCTGCTTTTCCAGCTCCTCTGAAACTGCAGAGTTTTCCATAAATAATCATCTAGTCCAGCAGCATTTCACCATTTCCCCCCAAAGCATTGTACTTGGGGAAATGGGAACCATCTTACTATTGATTTAGCTATGGGTAGATTTTAGATTTTTTTGTTGTTGTTGTTGTTTTTTTGTTGTTGTTGTTGTTTTCTTTTGGATTCCATTAGTTCTTCTTAGTTTATTTTATACTGAAGAACTGAATCCTTGGGAAGGCAAGTACTTAAAGTCTAAATCAGATCTGAATGGCCTCTACTATATCAAAAGACCGTAATTTTCAGCTCTTTAAACTCCCAGATGCTGCTTGGAGCACCCTGGGGCTCAAAGCAGTGCAGGTTTTTTGTGACTTTTGTCTGACACATTGAGGCGGAAATGCATTTTATCAGATTTTAGTGCCTGGGATAAAAGGTGTCCAGTGCTTTCCTTCTCCCTCATCATCTCATTTAAGCCAGCTGCCAAGTTTTGCCTCCTCTCTAGTTGGTTTGTGAACTGCTAGAATATGCAAGAACCAAGACTGGAAGCTTTTCATCCAGATTGTGCTGGTCTCCCACCAGTGATGGAGCATCCCTTTGGGCAGATCAGATTGTCAATGTGTAGAACCACAGCCAAGGGCTGGGATGACAAATTAGCAGTGTTCTCCTTTGAGGAACAGCCCCCTTGGAGCATTTGCTTACAGCTTTATTCTCCACTTTGTATGTGGTTATTTGTGAGGAACTCCAAAAGCCTATCAAAAGCAAATTGCCGCAGATGTAGGAAAGTGAGTAAATCTAACTGGCTAGCAGTTTGTAGAGCTATAGGTAACCATATAGGTGGTGAAACATATCGAAGAAGCAGATCTGTATATCCATGTGAACAGAGAAAAGTTCCAAATTACAACTTCTATTAAAAGTATTCACTTAAAGATGTTTTACCAAAGTAAATTTTTTAAACTTTCACTTTTACTCAACCAGCAAAGAACATCACATTCAGATGTATATTTTATTTGGGCTGTTGTTTGTTTTCTCTGTTTCTATATCTAGGTCGTAAAAACTCATTTGACTGTCCTGGAATCAATGTCTATAATTTGGTCCTCATGTTCACGTGTGTTGCTGCACATCATCTGGACACATGCAATGGAAGCTCCACTGTGTGCCTCAGGGCAGGGGGTTCTTTCAACAGGCCTCTGTGACACACTTGTTCCCAAACTACTCATCATATCATTAACTTTTTATAAAAGGAAAAAAAAA